ACCTTCTTTTTGCCCCCTATGTATTTAAAAAAGACTTCTTGTTGTCCTTGATCTGGGAAGCTAGTCCCAGTTCCATCTCTGCCTTGGCCTTCCTGACTGCCCCCCTGCATGAGACAGCCCTTCGCCAAACCCACACTTGAAGGGCACAGCTAGTTCCGGGACAAATGCAACATCTGTTTGTAGCTTGAGGCATGTGGTTAGGTGGTTCCTTACTATCGCTGAACAGAATACAAATAATCAGAATATAGCTTAGTCATGTCCAGTTCTTGAAGACTGCTTTTGTTGGTAGTAGAAATAATAAAGCAACATTAATCTCAACCTAAATTTTCCCAAATTTGGAGTTCCTGTGTTTTCCTACAGGCACCATTAATTCCAGTTTCCTTATCCTTATGGAGTTACAGAGTGCATAATACACAGCAGGTGAACTTAATTTACTCAGCAGTGTTATGTCAGGTATTAACACCAAATAAATAGGATAGACCAACAGGGAAGTTCTCACTAGCCTTGTTAGAGGATGGAAAGTGGAGGGAAGATGATGGTGTACTTAGGATTGTGCAGACTGGTCATATATTTAGAATATGTAGAGGTTGACCATTTGATATGTATTGTAGTTATGAAAGGGGACTATAGGCTGCCATGAATCCTGCTTGCAGATTGGTGGATAAATTCTGTCTCCTCATTTTTTTCATATAATTTGTTTGCACAAAGCCTGTGTACTTGGCCTTTTCTGCAGCAGGAGGAATGGAGTGACTTTAACCCTGGATGAATAGAAAGGTGCTATTGGCTGTCAATAAAATTGCATCAAGAATGGAGTAAATACCTCCAGCTTCTTGTAATTTGTTTTTGATTCATGAAGCATAGCTTATCAGACAGTTTCAAGTACAAACTCATTGATTTTTTCTGTGTATCATGTTTGCTAATAGGAAGTTTATTTGATTTTCTTTTTCAGAAACATTGTGATCGACAAAAATCTAATCTACGGATACGCTTCAGGCCTTCTCTTTTCCAACATGTTGGCCTGCACTCCTCACTAGCAGGAAAGATCCAGAAACTCACAGTTAGTAACTAAAACTTCCCTTTCCTTTTAGAACAAATAGGGTTGATAATTTGTCAGTATTTGCAAAAACAAACATTTTATTATAGTCTAGCATTTCAAGTATAATGTACTGTATTTAGAATCAAACTTGATTAATGCCGGTTAAATAATAAATTCCTTCAACTCACTTCTTATGCACCAACTGCATAGTTTTTCATTTTTAATCTCTAACATTTTATCTGTAATAACATAGCCTTATTAATCAATGAGATCTAACATTTTCAGTAGTGGAAATGGGTCATACATTTGCTATCCTTCATTTTCCATTTTCTTTTAAGTACTAGAAAAACTAGCCACTAAGAAAAAAAGAATAATAAAACAGATTGGCTGACTAGCTTAATTTTATATTTGTCTGTCTTTAAATTAGGATAAAGATTTCCTGAAACCGTTACTGCATAAAATTCATGTGAACCCACCTGCAGAGGTTTCTACGTCTTTAAAAGTCTACCAAGGACATACACTCGAAAAAACCTACATGGGGGAGGATTTTTTCTGGGCTGTTACTCCTGTTGCTGGGGATTATATTCTATTTAAATTTGACAAGCCAGTCAATGTAGAAAGGTTAGTAATTACTTGTCTTTTGATCTTGTTGCTAAAGCTGCTACCTGACCAATTTTGCTTGACAATGGAATTGAGGAAATAATAAAGCGTAATGAAAAAGTAATTTCATACAAGAGGAATGGGTTAAGTTGAAAATGTCATTCACTCCACTCCTTTTCCTGTAATTGTTTCTGTGTATTTTATTTAATTTATTTTGCTCTAAAATATATTTTGTTTATTTTCTTTTCACCCCATCCTGTCCAAAATTTTAAAAAAGAAATTGTTTATTTACAGTTTGTGTGTGCTGCCTTTTCAGGCACATTGGGACCTTCTCATGCTGTTGCTTTGCAGACCTAGGACCTGGTAGAGAGAATTTGTCTTGAAATAAAGGGCGTCTATACACATGGTCTGAGGTAGGGGGTGAGGGGGGGAGTGCTTTAATTAGACTGGCTCTTAATTAAAGTGCCCACAGCATCGTGTGTAATCAGTATCCTGCGCTTCAAAATGGCTGCAGGGGCGGATTCAGTGAGCTTTAGTTAAATCCCCTGTGGTCATTTTGAAAAGCAGGGGTGTTGAAAAGATGTGACATGGAGTGCACTAATTAGCACACTCCAGCAGACTTGCTCTGATGCATGCTAATTAGTGCACTCCATCAGAGCTCTGTCACATGTATAGGTACCCAATGTGAATAGGTGCTTCCTTTGTTGAGCTAGTCTTTTGGTTGCCTTAAATTGAATCCAGTCAGTCAAATACTCAATGGCAGCTACTCAAAGACTATAGGACTTCATTTCAGTTTAGCCATCTGAAGGAGCTCCAGTTTAAGTAATTTCCCCATTATAGCTTTTTTCAAATGAGTTTGACCTATACAGTGCATGTTACTTGGGAAGTATGGGCATTAAAAATGATATGTTAGTTGATTAGAAAAGTCTTTGCTTGAAGCATTGTAAATTCCATGTGGCTATAACTTTGGGAAGGGTATATATACCATACCCCTTCATATAGAAGTAAGGATCTTTTATCCTGTGTTAGAAATGACTGTTCTAATTTACACTTTTCAACTAACGTATGCATGCTGTGGTGAGGTGTTCTATTTTTTATCTACTTCAAATTGTCTTTGTCCAAGTTAAAAAAAACATTTAAATAAATAAATAAGACAGAGAGAGAAAAGGATTTTTGTTGTTTCATTAGAATGTGTCAGATGCAAACTGAGAGTATTGACAAGTGTTCAGAACTTGCTAGGAAGTTTTAGATAAATTTTGTATCTTAAAAATTATTGTGACTTAGGGGTAATACACTTCAGTAAATATTTTACCTATGTGGAGGTCATCTTGAGCAACAGAAAGTACCAGGAGTTGTGCATAATAGGGAGGTTGTTTCTATTAAGTGATGACAGTTTAGGTTTGAAGAAACAGAATGTCTTGGCTTCTTCTGTTTCTCAGAGTAAGTCCATTAACTAGATGGGCGTAAAATTTTAAGCAGTAAAAAAAATTCTGCATGAGTTAATGCTGGAAAATACAGTTTGGGGAGTAAACATGGATTTGGCAGGAGGTGTACAAGGTGACATTATGCTATAGGTTTTGTCTTTTCCTTTTGTCTTTGACCTTAAACAAACAAAACCTCTCCTCTCTTCTGCAACTGAATCTTGTCTGCCAAATGACTGACATATAGCTGCTTAGTAGCTACATTAATACAATCCTGATAAGCATGCTTCTTGGTGGATACAGTGACCACACTGTACCAGGCAGTAGAAACATTCTAGGGTTGCCGTGCTGTCCCCTAGCGCCTCCTACCATGCCAAGTTTGGGTTAAAGCACCCGCATTCTTGCCCGCCACGTCTTGATCTTCTGAAAGTAAAAGGGAGGTTGCCTCTCGTCTTCCTGGTCATGGTTCCTACTACCCCGATCCTTGTTTATACAATGGGGTTCTGAACACCCCAGCCTTATGGGCTATGCGTGGCTCCAACCACCCCTGTACAACGTCCCAAGCCTCACTGATGGACCTGACGTTGTTTGGTCTCTCTCATACTCTGCGCTCAGGCTCTCCACAGCCCTTGTCTTTCAGCGCACCCTCTGGTGCTCAGGCCCTCCACAGCCCTTGTCTCGGAATCGTGCCCCACAGGCACTCTGGCTTTGCCTTCTACCTGATTTCAGACTCACGCAGTTAATTATCTCTCGGTATAAGATATATGCGCTTGTCTAATTGAGAGAGAAGACATGCATCAGTTTCTACCATTTATTGAAAGGCACAGCTTTTATATCCTTTGGTAACTTAGTTTATCTTAAACCAAGCTCATTATAACAGTGATGAGTAAAGTGAAACAAACACTTGAGTTTTTGGTTTAACAGTTCTTGTACTGAACTCTCCACAAGGAAAAGTTCCTTATCAAAAATGCTGAATACCCAGTAATAGTACGCTAGGATACAATTTTCCCTTCTGCAGCCACCAATGTACTTGTTCATGTATGCCTTTCTCCCTTTTAGTGCTGCAATTGCCAGTCTTACTGGGTGCGTCTACATGTTCATTAATGTACTGTAGTTACGGCACATTAAGTTTAGTACTTGTATAACCAAATACTAAATCAATGTACATTAGTGCCAGCGCACACCTTTTTAGTGACGCTAACTGTGCAATAGCCTAATACTACTGCACAGTAGCATATTAGCATGGTTTTTGCCCTGGATGCTGCTGCACAGTAGAATTAGTATACTGCACAGTTAGCATGTCATGTAGACACACACACTAGCAAGTAAATTGCATATCAGCATTTTGTGGTTTGTTTACAAAATATGTAATTCAATTCTAGATGACATGACCTTTAATATAGGTCATGTTTTAAAGATAAAAACCTTAAAACGTTGTCCCTTTGAGTTATGTTAGAGTGAATAGTTGTCTACTGCTATTGATGTACAATTGTCTGTTTTCGAAGTATACTTTTTCTCATTAAAACTGATTGCCTTAAAAATAGCTTTGAACATTTGACAGTTTTATCCCCATAATCTTTGGGTGGAAGATGTGTAGAATTACAAAATTAAAAAGTAAATAAAGTATACTTTCCTTTTTTCCTTTTAGTTGCCCTTTCATAGAGAGATGTCATACTTTTTGTTGTGTAGATCATTGGAATATGCACCCTACTTAATTTTGGTTGTGTTAGTTTTAATAGGAATCTTTAACAAGTCATTCTTGAAGAAAAGAGGAGATAACTGATTAATATGCTTCCTTTTTTAAAAATACATGCCACATTCAGACTGTCCTTTATAGCTTTGCTAATATCCAGCTTCATTTTAACAGTCTCCATTCAAAAAACCCAACCTTGATAGTATACTGAAATACTTAACTGGCAAAAATATGATAAGACCAAAGCATTGTGAAAACAATAATTATTAATAATGTCATTTTCAAAAAGCACAAATTAAGATCACTATTTGTTCTTTTCAAAATGTAGTTATACCAGTTTAAGTGTAATTTTTGTACCTAGCTTACCAAACTCAGGACAGAAAACTGTGAAACCATAATTATCTCCTCCCAGTTTGACTGCGAATCATTAACGACTGGTCAAATCATTATGCTCAAAGAGTATAATATCACCCTCCCTCCCTCTCCCCACTCTGGCACAGTGTGGTGCAGGGGCAGCCCCCTGCTGTCAAATGCCACCAAAGCTACAGCTCTGTAAGCCAAACCCAAAGGGTGTGTGGGCCACAGGTTGTTGGCCCTTGGTTTAAAGGGTCTCTATTTCATGTTGGTGTTCTAGTTCCCTTTTAAATTGTTTTGTTCTCATGTTTTATAAAACATTCTGTTCTCCTACTATAAGCTGCCCTGAGCCTTTGTTGGGAAGGATTTATAAATTGAATGGGTGAATGAATAAATAAACTTTTCTTTTGTGTGTTTTTTTCCATAGATCAGATGGACTGTGCAGGTTTTTAACTTCCTCTCTAGAATAGGGTATAGCCTTTTCCTGGGATCTTCTGAGCGTATATTAACCAACCACTGTGCCAGAATGTTAGCAATACCTTTGCCTCTCTTGCTTTTACATATGGTGTGTTACAGTGTTTCCCTGTAGTTGAGTGCGAGGGTTTGGAGTGATGATTTGGGGAATTCCATGGGTGAATGGAACAGGGGATTGGACTCAGTGACCCAGAGGGCCTGTTCCAGGCCTAAGTTCCTGTAGTTTAAAATATGCTCTGTGACAACGAAGAGAGAAATTGTTTATCAGTTTCACTTATGACTAGACCACAGCCATTAAGAAGAAAGCAGATAATGAAAATTGATTCTATTTCTAATTGCTGTTCCTTGCACATGTATAAAATGGCTAATTTTTTTTCTTACTGGACGTCACTTGCCTTCTGGAAAGGAAAATACTAATGAAAAGAAAATACTAATGAAACTAGTAAATAAAAACAAGCATTAGAATGACTTACTGAGCAAACAAGCTCGTGATAAATTGGAATTGTTGTATTGCTTAGTTTCATCATCTGAACTACTTAAAAGATTCCGTATGTGGTAGAGAAGATACAGTTACAAATTCTTTCTTCCTGGACTGTTATCTCAGTACAGTAGCAACTGGTCTGACATTAATTAGCTGTTCTTCATTCACATTGCTATCCCTTGTCAATGTAGAAATACTCTGAAAAAGATGCAGTTCTGTTATTTCCTACTCTTGTTTTTTAGTGCTAGCCTGGAAACTAAATGATTTATTTGTATAGGTTCATATACACTGCATCAGTTAAAATTACCATTATTCCTTCTCTAAATATATTATATACACAGAGTGTCTGATAAAAATATACTGATATTTTAATTTTAAAGGACTTATTTCAACATTTCAAAACAATGTTTTTAGTTGATAGAAAAGTATAAAAAGGTCCTCTGTGTAAAGTTAATTTTACAGTGTTTGTGATGTTTGTATATATTTGACCTTGGTTAATCCTTTTAATGTATATATAAAATTAATGCAATCTATATGAAAGGCAGGAAGAGGGGCACTTGGCCATTTGACATGTATGAATTACATTTTAAAGGATATA